CATCTACTTCGTGATGCATGTCCCAGTACCAGTTACCAACGGTGATTAGTTCCAGCCTTCTTTTGCAGTTGTGATTCGGAGACGAGGGCGAGCACTTGGCGTTTTGGGTTTGTCTCGTCTCCTTCTTTTGTTTTAGCTAGTCTTGTTACCTTTGAGACACGCTTTGTTATGGTCCACTTTTGGGACTTGTACTCTTTATTAGATAACTCTGTACTAGTGACTTCCAGGTTCTGGGAGAGATTTATGTACATATTTATTTTGGTTTGCTTCCGCCTTATTGTCCTTGTTTAGATTATTGTTTTCGTTAGTTTCTGCCCTTTCGCTCATTGCTTGATGTTCTATGTTACGAGTTGGCTTACCTACTGGTAGGGCATAGTAGGTGTCATCATGACTCGAGAAATCAGATCGTGACAATATGTGCTCATGTGGACATCATAAATATTGCATCATTATAAACACTTAAACAGTAATGTGTCCACGTGGGCACATATATACCTTTAAAATACACTATTAAATAGTGCATGAGGGTAAAAGGTCCTCCATAAAGTTTGGTATCGTAACAGCGATTTTGGCCAAAGTTGGAGTATTTTTCAGACTTTTTTCCCTTTTATATACTTAGAGTTTTTATTTATTTATGCAAATATAAATATTTTTTTAATATTAGAAATTTGATTGTATATTTTTTGACGATACATATGCTAATCAAATATTAGCATTATATATTATTCAATACATTCCGCATTCTATTAGCATGTATTATTTTGTAAATAATATATATTAATAATTTACAACAAGTTTAATATTCAATAGTTAATAATTCATGTTTTGTAATCTCTAAATAACTAAATAATACCTACATAACTAATATCTCCGTTGCTAATACCCGCATAACTAAACTCTGCATAACTAAATCATGCATAACTAATACCTTAATGACTCTAACCAATAACCAAACGACCGTTTAAGTAATTAGAGTATATATTAGTGAGATTATTGTAAGTTATTCTTAAATAAAAAAATTTGTCCAATGGGCCGACCCCAGCCTGGCCCCGATCAAGCCTCAAGGACAAAGGGCTTATATGGGTCAGACTTATAAGTCCTAGTTTAAATAGGCTTGAAAAATCCTATCTCAACCCTATCCCAATAACGGTTTGGATTGGGTCAGCCCCATGGGCTTAAGTCCGTTTTGACGGCTCTACTTTTGATTAAGAATTTTTTCATATTTAGGGCTCAATATCAATTTAAATTTTTCCTGATTGGTTTGAAATCAAATTTTCTGATTAATGAACGAGAAGACACATTCACTGTGCTACATATTTTAGTGGTTTCATTTAATTTTTATGATGGTGTCAATGATTTTTTATTTTTTAAAAAATGATTGAACTAAGAGCCCGTTGGAATTGGCTTTAAAAGTAGTTTTTTTAAGTCAAAATAAAAAGTAGGGGGAGATCTATTTTTAGTTTTTGACTTATTCTAAACATCATTTTTTACGTTGACAAACACTTCCTAATTTATTTTAAGTCATTTTTTTTACTTATTTTAAGTTATTTCTTATGTTTACCAAACACTTTCAGAAGTAAAAAACTGACTTAAAAGTAGGTTGGACCAACTTTTAAGACAATCCTAACACCTTCTAAATCGATTTTTATATTTTTAAAAATAAAATTGAAGGTTACAATCTAAATTTAAATAATTAAGATGAACAATTTATTTTATAGAAATATCAAAAAATTCTTGAACCGAGTGTATATATATATATATATATATACTTTGGCCTTGAGGTGAATTTTATTTAAACGAAATTTAAAATTCAACATTGACAACATAAATACTCAACACTGATTTAGTCTTTATGATTATCTAAACTTTACGTTTTAGCATAGCAGCAAAAGTCATGTTCAATTCATAGTGTTAGTTGTAGACTACTTGAAATCTCTATGCTGAATTACATGAAATAAAACACTTGCTTGATAGAATGGTGATCATATACAACTAGAACAAACTATCTTGTTATCAAAGGATGCTAAAATAGACAAACTTACTTAATCAACAAACTCAATTAAAGATTTCAATTTAAATCTAATACAATTTTAGCAGCCTTTTCATAATAACACCTAGTAAATCATGTGATTATAATAAAAAATAATAGGCATATTTCATTTGATATTATAAATCCAAAAAAATATATTTTATGTTATTGAGATTTTTGGATATGTAGTTGTATCAAACTTTACCGATTGTGACGGACGTTAGATGACGTTTTAAAAAATAAAAAATAATCAAACTATATAGAAATCGGGGAAAAAATTCTCCTTCTCTCATTGCCTTTTTTCGTTTTTTCATATATTTTGCTTTGTGTATTTCTAACAATTGTATATTTACTCTATCTTTTTTGCTCTCCTTTCTCTATACATAGTTTTTTTTGTATTTTTTGTGTGTTTGTATTAATGGTATATTTTTCTTTCTCTCCTTTTTCTTCTATTTGTAGTTTTTTCATATATTTTGCTTTGTTTGTTGGAATGTACCAAGTATCAACTATATATTTGTTCTCTTTTTTTCTCTTTCTATAGCCTTTTTTCTTGTATTTTATTTTGTGTGTTTGTCTCAATTATATATCTTTGCTCTCTTTTCCCCTCTCTCTCTAGCCTTTTTTCTTGTATTTAGTTTTGTATATTTATATCAATTGTATATTCTCTCTCTCCATCTCTTTATGTTGCCCTTTTTCTTATATTCTGCACTGTGTGATTATATATTTTCTCCCTTTTAAGTCTTTTTTTTACTTCGTCTTTTGATACACATTTTTAATACAAGAATAAATGAACACAAGTGATACAAGAGCGAGTGATTACAAATTATACAAGAACGAAAATATTTAAGTGGTACAAAAAAATTGAATACAAGTGATACTAAAGAGATTGAATACAAATGATACAAGAGTGAATGAATACAAGTGATATATACAAGAGGGAGAGAGGTGGAAGCATAGTATACAACCTAAATGCACACATGAATACAACAAATACATTCACATGATTCCTAAAAAATAGGTAAACACAAAGAGAGGTAAAAATACAAAATACATAAAGAAAGGGAGGTGAAAATATAAAATACAATAAAGAAGAGAGGTAAAAATACAAAATACATAGAGGATTGATAAAAATATAAAGAGGGAGATAGGGAAAAATACAAAATACAATGAGGGAGATAAAGGGAGGTGGGTTGTGGCTCCAGCAGGGTAGCCTCCATGAATCTCATGACTGCAGCCAAGTCATCCACCGAGCAACCGCCATTGATTGGTGGCTCAACATAATCATTTTACACTCTACTTAGCTCTCCTCCACTTCTTCCCTTTAGAGCCAACCATCTTCACCCGGAGAGAGGATTTAAAAGGGGGCATCTATGTCAATCTCCAAGTGTGTACCCCAACTCGCCCGCATAGTGTCGACATCATACCCGGGAGAATAGGGATTTTTTTGTTGCTCTAATAGAAGTCCTTTCACTCCGACTCGTTAATGCCTCATATGGTGTAGGATACCACCAAAGATCGAGGGTAGGTCACATCACTGAGGTTTTCCGATGGATGGATCCTCCAAGACACCGAGTTCATCCACCTCCTAGCATAGAATATGAAGTGCTAGTAATGCCCTCAGTACTGAAATCGACTCGTGAACTCTTCCTCGATCAGTGTGTCCCTCAACCACTTCATGAGCATCTATTCTCCCTCTTTTCCATTTAAAGACACTTGATCCTCCTAGTGCGCCAAACTAAAAGTAAAAAAAAATAATTGGAAATTGAAATAAATTACTCCACTATTATACAATTTGAGCGGAAGATGGAATCGTTTTACCAGTATTCTTGGGCGAAAAAAGACTCACCTACATAGATCACACCAACTAATTAACTTGTAATTCCATCAAACATCTAATATCAGTGATGATAAAAGACAATCTAAAACAGCTACAATGCTAATTAGCCCCAGATTGTATTTGAGACTTTGAAAGGTAAAAGTACTTGCAAAACAAATCAACGCAATTTAAATACATCTTCACATTTTAAATGATAATATAAAGAACATAAGCTGAATTACAGGTACATCATCAACATATTCAACACAAATTAAAATATGAATTACAGCCATTTACAAAGATCATAAAAAAAAATTAGATCTTGATTACCAAAACAAAACAATTTAAGTGACGGAATAAAGATGAAGAAAATACAAAAAGAAAGTAAGTACTATAGGACTGTTGTTCCTGCACAAACCAGTAAGCTGTAGGCGCACCCCTCCACTCCCACTTCTAATAAGATATAAGATGCATCCACCCTAAGCTATGAATGGTTGAAACAAGACATGCAGATCCTTTCAAAACTAAGCCTGATTGGATTGCTTTTCGTTTATTACTTTTAAGCCAAAAGTCATAAGAAATTCTGACTTATGGCTTTTCATTTATTTTTAGCATTTTAGCTTAAACCAAGTGCTTATGCTATGTTGCTTGGACTCTCCAAAATTCTTGCCGCACCCGTGCAGATTCAACAAAATGCACTAAGAAGAAAAAAGCCTATGCCCCTGATCATGCCTCGAAGAAGGCAATTCACGAGGAAAGTGGATATCTCCTTAGTATCTGACACGTACATGTTGACATTTTTGAAGAGTCCGTGCAACCTAGCTTATAAGCACTTCTTAAATTTACTTGAGAGCTAGCTTAAGAGCCTTAAAATAAATCAATATAAACAGGTTCTAAAACAAAGTAACAGTCAGACCAACAATCTACTGTTTTAGGTAAATGGCTTCATCAAATTCTTTCAGGGATCTCGCTCAGCACACATTTCTTATAAACTTAAGTGGCACAAAGGAAAATAACTTAAAATATCCACAACTATGATTGAGCATGACCAAGCTAAGCCAACTAAACCACACAAAGTGATAACTAGACACCAGCAGACACAATAGATCTCTTAAAAGTAAAAAGCTCGTGAACTTATCATAGAGTGATACCTGAGAAGTAGAGTACTTACTAAGTATAGAACAATACGAGCCTGCATCATATGTATCTATGAAACCAAACTTACAAGAAACACAAAAGAACTCCAAAAGAAGGTTCTAGCTAATCCATAGTTCATAAAGAGAGAAAATATCTAAACTAAGACAAAGCACAAGCTATATCATATCTATCTAGATATGGTTCTCTGGTCGCACAGTCGTAATAAGAAGTAGCAAACTAGGGCTCTCCAAATCTTCTAGGTGGTGTCTCCTTGCTAGTGATCCAAGATATCTACTCGACCCTTGCCTGAGGATGCAGTAACCAAGATACCTGAATGCAACTCCTACAAAGCTTAGGAAAATCTACCTGGAGTAAGGATGGTAACGGCCACTGCCACTATACCCTCCCCTACTTCCATATAAACCTCCTGATCCACCATAACCAGCACCAGTGCCAGATTCGTAAGCAGCACCAGGGCCAGATTCATAACCAGCACCAGGGCCAGATTCATAACCAGCACCAGGGCCAGCTCCCCATAACCACCTCCACGGCCATATGCTCCTAGCCCACTGCTACTGTATCCACCACCATAACCACCAGCATACGAGCCAAAACGACTGGAATAACCAAGTGAGGGGTCTCCACGGTAACCACCAAATTCACTACTGCCAAAGTCTCCATATCTACCACCGTATCCATAGTCACCATACCTAGATCCAAATGACCTATAGGAAGCAGGGCCAAAAGCTCCACTGTCAAAACTGTTATATGAATCGGCAAATCCTCCATAACTATCACCATATCCACGCCCCCTAGAATTACTACCATATGCAGGAGCAGAAGCAGGGTTTGAGGGTTTCTTTGGTTCTGCCTTCTTGATCTCAACCTACAACAAAGAAGCAAGTTAACCTAGAAGTTCCACCTGCATAATAGCCGACAGCTGAGCACTAAAAGATGCATACTCAATGGAGAAACCTACAAACTTATACTCCTTGCATTAAATTATACTACCACATATGCAGCAGCAACTTAAGGCATATAGGTATATGTTAAAAGGAGAAAATTAGGCTGGGGGATGCTATGAAAGCGCAATCCTGAGGATCCACTATGTACACACGACAGTCATGTCCCAGAACATTTGAGATCATGAAGAAATATCCTACAAAACTTACCTGAGTGCCCATCATGTCTATCCTATTTCCATCAGCCAGCAAATTATCAACTACTTCTTCATTGTCAAACACAATAAATCCAAAGCCTCTAGAACGCTTGGACACGTGATCTCGTATGATCTCATACTCTGTTACTTTCCCAAACTTGGAGAAAAAGTTCTTGAATTCATCTGACAATAAATGTACAAGAGACAACAGTTTAAATACTTCAAGCTTAAAGAATACTACTGCAACTGTCAGACAGCAGAACCTGTTAGTATAGAACAAAATGGCACAATGTTACCTTCAATCATGGTAGTTGGAATGCCACCAACAAAAATCTTCCTTGTTTTAAAATCCTTTGAATCAGCAGATCCTTTTGGGATGGTTCTTTTAATCTCAACCTGGAAAAAATAAAATACCACAATTTGTAAGCCACAATCTTTCAAGTACTTCTAATAAGATGATTTTCAGCTGAAGCTAAAGAAAACATGTAATGCTCAGAACTCTAATAAATAAATGAGACCCACCAACCAAGCTCATAGTCTCACAAGCATATGATGTGTGCATATTGCAAGGAATCAATAATGTTTCAATTCAATTCAAATAAATTAAGCTGGAAAAATCAATACCACAATTTGCAGGTGCTTATAATAAATATGATTTTCAGCTAAAGCTTAGAAAATCAGTAAAACTTAGAACTCTGATAAATAAATGAAACCCCTCAACCAAGCTCACGAACTCACAACTCACAAGCATATGTCTACTAACTACAGTACTTTTACATATTGCAAGTAGTCAACAAAATTCACCATAGTTCTCTAATATTTCAACTCAAATTCGACTACAATTGAACATCAAGAAGGAGCTACATAAAGAACTGAAGCTAAACTACTCACTTGTATAACTAATTAGTACTTATATAACAAAATTAGCAGAATAAGATCAAAAGTTCGATTTCAAAGTATAAAACTGAAGCTAAACTACTCACTTGTTTGTCATTGATAATATGGTTTTCAGCTATAACAGTGTCTACAACTGTTGGATCAGCAAAAGTGATGAACCCAAAACCTCTGGGTCTACCTGTTTGCCTATCTTTCATAATCACCGAGTCTATTATCTCCCCATACTTCTCAAAGTACTTCACAAATTGTTCTACGCAAATTTCATTAACACCCTCGTCAGCAAATCAAAACCCCACTAGCAAGAAACAGTTAATACATCAAAACAAATGTTCAAAAACACTAACCTCGCGTTGTCTCTTTCGCTAGACCTCCAATAAAGATTTTTCTGTTCAAAGAAAAAACAAAACAACAAAAATCCCTAATCAATACACATCAAACTTCGTATGTAAAACAATAATTTGGGCAATTCATCTACATCTTTTCCTAAAGAGTTCATTATTTATCCAACCAAAAGAGAAAGAAAAAAAAAAACGAACCCAGGACTAGCGCCATCGCCGAAATCGTTCTTCCTGGAACCCATGGAAGAGATTGGGTATTGCAGAATGGTCAGATCTGAGAAAAAATGTAAACGTAAAGCTAGGGTTCGTGGCTGTGTATTTAATATCAGTTGGAATGACAATGGAAGATTGGGGCTTTATGGTGCAATATATACAAAGGCTAGGGTAGGGAGCTTCTAGAAACTTTCTTGCTTTCAATTTTGTTTTGGTTTCCCATGTATGATATCCACTTTAAGAATCGAATTAATTTGAATTCATATCATATTGGTTAGGCCTATTTGAGGTTAAATACTTCTGATTTAAAAAAAATCATATTTAGGGACAATATCAATTTAATTTTTGCGTGATTGTTATGAAATCGAAATTTATGATTAATGAACTAGAAGACACATTCACTTCATTACATATTTTAATGGTTTCATTTAATTTTTATTATGGTGAACCCTGAGGGGTAGCTCAGCTGGTAAAGGCCTGGGACAAAGTCCTTCAGGTCGCCGGTTCGAGCCCCAGCAGGGCCACTGGAGGCATTACAAACCGGCCGCGTCTCCAGGGCCCCGTGGAACTAACCGTGGTGGACCCGCCTTGAAACAGCGGGACCCGGTGGGTACAGCTAGTCGGGTTCGCAAAGCGACGCCCGGAAACCACGGTTAAAAAAAAAAAAAAAAAAATTATTATGGTGTCAATGATTTTTTATTAACAAAAATGATTGAACTAAATCAATTTTTATATTTTAAAAAATAAAATTGAAGGTTACAATATAAATTTATAAATATGCTAAATAATTAAGATGAACAATTTATTTTATAGAAATATCAAAAAATTCTTGAACCGAATATATATATATATATATATATATATATATATACTTTGGCTTTGAGGTGAATTTTGTTTAAACAAAATTTAATATCAAATTCAACGTTGACAACATAAATACTCAACACTAATTTATTTTTTATGATTATCTAAACATTAAGTTTTAGCATAGTTGCAAAAGTCATATTCAATTCATAATGTTAGTTGTAGATTACTTGAAATCTCTATAATGAACTACATGAAATGAAACACTTTTTTTTTTAAATTGGTAACTTTTTATATTCCTCAGCATTAAGGGCTATGCTGGCCACCTCCAAAAAAAGACTGTTATAACAAAAGGAAAAGACTAAAAAGAAATACTTACAGAGATCCTATGAAGTCCACTAATTGGAACTCCTCTTCTATATCCTGTTCTTTACACCAAAAACCTAAAGTAGTAATTACTTTCCATTTGATCTTCTGTATTGTACACTCCTTTACATGAAATGAAACACTTGCTTGATAGAATAGTGATCACATACAACTATAACAAACTATCTTGTTATCAAAGGATGCTAAAATAGACAAACTTACTCAATCAACAAACTCAATTATAGATTTCAATTTAAATCTAATACAATTTTAGTAGCCTTTTCATAATAACGCCTAGTACATCATATGATTATGATGAAAATAATAGGCATATTGCATTTGATATTATAAATCAATAAAAAATATTTTATCTTATTGAGATTTTTGGATATTTAGTTATATTAAATTTTATCGATTGTGATGGAGATGACGTTTTAAAAAATAATAAATAATCAAGGAAAAAAAATCTCCTTCTCTCATTGCCTTTTTTTTCGTATTTTTTTGTGTATTTGTATTAACTAGTGTACTTATTCGTGCTTCGCGCGAAATTAAATATATATTTTTAAATAATTGATGTCATTCATTGACTATTTTCAATAAGAAGTGTATAAAAAATAATACAAATCAAGTCATGGTATTGATGTTGTCTATTCAGAAAAAATTGCTAGAAAGATATTTTCAAACTTTACTTTCCGCTTAACATTGTCGATAAAAAGAAGAAAAACATAAAAAGTATCTTAAGAAAAAAAATTAAGTTGATTATATAACATTACATCAGAGGTTATACTTTACAATAGAAAATAAAAGAATTGAAATACATAATATAAAATAAAATATATATTTATAAGAAGTCGAGATGTCATTAGTAATTTGATATGTTACTTATCTACTCGGTTATATAAAAATTATAATAGAGTGATAAATTATTATTTTTTTAGAGTACATGAAGTGTGAAGTTGTAGAAAGGTCTACCAAGGGCTTGATCAATGTTTGTCCCTAACATATGCTCTCCCTTTCTCTATACATAGCTTTTTTTTTTGTATTTTTTGTGTATATTTGTATTAACTAGTGTACTTATCCGCGCTTCGCGCAAAATTAAATATATATTTTTAAATAATTGATATCGTTCATTGACTATTTTCAATAAGAAGTGTATAAAAAATAATACAAATCAAGTCATGGTCTTGATGTTGTCTATACAGAAAATTGTACTTTAATTTTCGCTTAACATTACCGATAAAAAGAAGAAAAACATAAAAAGTATCTTAAGAAAAAAAAAAGTTGATTATATAACATTACATTAGAGGTTATACTTTGCAATAGAAAATAAAAGAATTGAAACACATAATATAAAATAAAATGTATATTTATAAGAAGTCATGATGTCATTAGTAATTTGATGTGTTACTTATCTACTCGATTATATAAAAATTATCATAGAGTGATAAAATATTAATTTTTTTAGAGTACATGAAGTGTGAAGTTGTAGAAAGGTATACCAAGAGTTGGATCAATGTTTGTCTTTAGCATATGTAGAGGAGTGGAAGAGTTTATAACATTAATCTAATTATTATTGTAGTCATCACTAAAAAAAAATTAATATATGATAATAACTATTCAAAAGATAACTCCTTATGTGAAAAATTAAGATAGATAATGTCACGACCCAGACCATTGTGATTGACACCCACACTAACCCTCCGGTGGGAGAACCATTACTACAACCCAACTAACAACTTAACTAAAAACTAGAGAATATAAAGATACGGAAGCATGTTTAAATGACAATATAAATGGAGTCCCCATAAACTCCAAAGGTTTAAACAATTAACTAACCAAACTAATGCGGAAATTCAACCCCTAGAACCTGAAAGTCATCGTACAAAAACTCTACTAACGACAAGTCTAAGAATATGGGGTACAACCCCAAAACTAAACAACACCTTAAACAAATAGTTTGAGTCTGAAAAGAGTGGACTTAAACAAGAAAGATCCATGGCAGCCTGAAAGAACTGGCTCACCCTTGAATTCGGTCACGTTCAATAGTCACCTAGCTAAGGTTTATCAATAGCCGCCTAAAGATGTCATGTACTCAACAAAGAACAAGCAAGTGTAGTATCAGTATACAACCACAATGTACTGGTAGGATCACGCGGCTATCCCAATAAGCGAAACACATGCAAGTAACTAGGGGTGTACATGCCTTGTACTCAACAAAAAACAAGCAAGTGCAGTATCAGTACACAATCACAATGTACTGGTAGGATCACGCGGCTATCCCAATAAGCGAAACACAGCAAGTAACTAGGGGTGTACATGCCTTGTACTCAACAAAGAGCAAGCAAGTGCAGTATCAGTACACAATCACAATGTACTGGTAGGATCACGCAGTTATCCCAATAAGCGAAACACATGCAAGTAACTAGGGGTGTACATAGTTCGGTTTAATGAAAAACCAAACCAATTATATCGGTTTATTAAATCTAAAAACCAAATCAAACCACATAAAATCAGTTTTTTCGGTTTTTTTAATTTTTTTCGATTTTTTACAACTATACGGTGTTTGAAAAAGAGATCAAATATATTTTTACTTACTTGTGTGATAAGCTAAACTTAAAATATGTTAAATGAATAGAAATTTTCGAAAAGACGGTAAAATTCACATGAGTACAAAATATTTTTTTTGAAATATCAACGTTCATTATGTTAAATTAATAAGATTAAAGATTACATACAAACTGAATACAAAACAAAATATTTACAAAGTAAATTGTTAACTTTGAATTTGAAAAACTATAACAATATAATTGTAACTTCGGATCTTAATACAAAATAAAAAAATTACAAATTTCACAAGCCCAAATTTGAAGTAAAATATAAACATTGAAAACTATAAACCAACTAAAAATATATTAACAAAGTAGATTATAAATAATATTTTTTATCTATAAATATGGAAACTTTCGCGTATAGCCACTCAAAAATAGCTTAATTACGCTCCATAGCTATAGTTTGCTAATTACGATTCGTAGCTAGGCAAATTGTATATGTATATTTGTCGAATTATATATGTATATTTGTCAAATAATTGTATATATGCAACTAATATACATATGTATTTGTATATCTGGCGAGCGAGATTAGGAGAGGGAGGAGAGACGCGAGCAAGAGAGGGCAGGGAGTGGAGAGAGGCGAACTGTATATGTATATTTGTTAGATAATTGTATATATATAACTGATATACATATGTATTTGTATATATGGCGAGAGAGATTGGGAGAGGGAGGAGAGAGACTAGCGAGATTGGGAGAGAGAGGAGAGAGGCGAGCGAGATTGGGAGAGAGAGGATAAAGGCGAGCGAGAAAGGTCAGAAAGTGGAGAGAGGCTAATTGTATTCGTATATATGTCATATAATTGTATATATGTGTATAATTTGTATCTGTATATGTATAAAAGAGGACAAGTGACGTAATTAAAGCTAAAATTAAGCTGCAAGCCGTAATTAATTCAAACTATAACTATATTAGTTAATTAACTAGTATATGTTTACTTTTCCGCGTAATTTTCCCTAAAAAATATTTACAAAATTTTCCAAGCCCAAATTTGAAATAAAATATATAAACAAAGAGTGGTCGGTTTATTTCAATCGCCAAACCAACCAAACCAAACCACAAATCGGTTTTTTTCTTTCGGTTTGACTTGTACACCCCTACAAGTAACCACAACATTATAAACATGCATATACCGAACATATACAATATTAGTCATTTTTTCAGGATCAATGTAGCATTCCACATTCTCAATAATACACATTGGTTATCATTTTAGAGCAACAAACAATCTTTCAACCTCAATCACCAT